GCATACAACTATGCATTGATACTATCCTAACTCCAAGTCTTGAATCTGAAACATAATAATCGTGCAAGATTGAGCATTATACAAATACAGTAAAACAATAAGCAATCCTAACTATATAGATAAAAAAAATATGGACCTCTTGAACTTTTTGCATTTCTTGCGTTAATAAATTATCCAGTATCTCTTGAAATCGTTGTTTCAATTTAACGTTTTCGATATTAGCGATTTCGAGTTCTTGTTGCTGCCTTCTTTGCCGCAATTCAGCTAACTCCGCGTGTAATGTGGCAAGACGGGTTTGCATCGAATCTATAACATTTAAGCTACAGATACTTCTTGTACAATAGTATACGTTTGATACGAATTATATGAGCAATACCTTTTGATGCAGAAACCGAAGGCATTTCTGTAAACTCGTCGGTAAGAATATATTCCTGAAATTGCTCAACTTTAGGTGCTTTCGATGGAGATGTATCCTCTTGTTTCATTGCCTCTGCTTCCATATTATCATTTTGGAACATTTCCTTACTAAACTCGGTGACAAGATTGCTACTTGTCGTCGCATTATTGTTAGATCTTTCTGAGTACGTCGCTTGCATAGAATTAGAGTCTGATACCCTGCTATCCGCAGATAATCGACTATTTTCATCTAATTCCATTACGTTTATGTTTGCATCTTCATCGTCTTCTTCACTATCGCTAACGGGTTCACCAAATATTTCATGCTCCGCTATGAACAAAAATAGCCATAACTCACCAACGTGTTCTCATTACAATCATTATTATATTTCTTTAGATACTTACCAACATCAAGACTTTGAGATGTGTTCCCGTTGATACTCTCTCTTTTAGTTTTTACCATACCAGAAGATGAAACTTTGCTTGGCTTTGATTGATCTTCATCTTCACATATTACTTCCCACTTGACATTAACTGCATCATTATCTACTCTTAACAATCTCTTTACTTCCTTTTCAATTTCTGGAGCCTCTACATACTTCTTTTTTAATGTTTTTCTGAATCTTCTGCGTCTCACATTTTTTGTAGGAGGAGTTATACCATGTGGCCACAAAAATTTTTTATCTACTTTATTTGGATCTTTTTTCTTTTGTCTGACTGGGGATTCTTCATCCGTGGTGGTATGATCATCTTCTTCTTTACACAGTAACATCTATGAATATGAAATGTCAGGTGAAAAATATTGCAATTGAAGTTATAAACTATACAATCTAACATGGACAATAGTTTTACCTGGCATATATCAGCAGTTTTGTAGAAACTTTTATTGTCAATGGTCTTTAAAGATTCTACAATAGTTGGCAAATCGACGACCTAAACAACAATTTTTTATTATTTTTATTAACATTTATATATAACTAATATAATGAAGATAATATTAATTTTACCTTTCCATGAAGTAACCAGTGATCAAATCTAACTTCGCCATACCGCATATCGTTCTCTAATTTTATACCAAGTCTGTCTTTTAGTGGTAATCCATTACGTAAAACATCCCGTAAAACTCTTGCTGGTTCCTTAAAAAATTCAAATACTTATCATAATTGTTTGATGTGTTTTACTAAACATTTCATAACCTCTAATAAATGGCATCCAACATTAAGAACAAAGGAAAATGAATTTACCGGTGGTAAACGTAAAATAAATTGGCTTTCCAATTCAGCTGGTGGCTCGCTACGAGTTTTATAATCTGGATTTGGTTGACGATACATAATCGTGCTTAGTCTATAAATTATAAACACTTAACATCTCTTTATTGAAGCAAAGTGTATTGTAGACTGTGACCAACTCGACCAACTGTGACTGTATAGACTGTAGTCAACTGTAGTGTAGTCGTTGTAGACGATGTAACACGACTGAAATCAGAATAAAATGAACTCACATGAACGTGCATACAAATTGAAACTGATAAGGCAGTGGTACGTACTTTGACATTGATAATGAATAATAATTTTACATGTAAAAAGTAAAAGATTATCTACATCGAAGAAGAGTAAGAGCGCAAGGAATATTCGATGGATTTATTAAATATTTTCGGAAAGATATATTGAGCCTGTTTTTATGCTTTTGCTGACAAGTTATATAACGTAACGGTTAATCGCTTGTTCAGTTCTGTTCGGTGTAAAAGCATATAGATAGCGTTTCTTTTAGATTTCCCTTTAGTCCTGCTTTGAACGCTTCGTTCGATCAGTAAATAAGTCAATTGACTTATAACTTCTAACGTTTTAGAGAATAGCATTACATATTTTATACAAAACCGGTTTCTACATTATCTATTTCGCTCGTGGAACAACATATTATGTGAAAGATATAAATGGTTCTTAATAAATTCCGGTAAATACGTGTAAAAGTGCCGATAACACGATGTTTGAATTTGTAACTGGCACAGTCGCAAGTAATTACTCTTACTATAAGTAAAACTGAGCTAGCAACGAGCAATAATTTTACTCATACTTGTTTTGTAAATAGTAACATTAGTGATACGTGCGTATGTGCATTGGGCAATGGGTATTTGCATACACAATTTCGATTCATCGAAGCATTTATTCACGCGCACGTTTCTGAAACTGTTATTTGATCAATTCTACTGTCGATTTATCATTTTATCGTGTACAAAATATCTCCTTGAATTACATTCAAACGAAACGCTGCACTTTCTATCCTTTATGTACATTTCATTGATCAATTGGATAATGATTTTGATTGGATCGTATTAATGTGCATAATTGTTTCGTTACTGCAGCTGCAAGGGACGGACTATTGTTATCTCATGTCTACATGTTCGATGAAGCAATTCCCGTTCGTTATAAAGATGTTAACGCTTCGTACTTGGCTTTGCACGATTAATAAAGAATGCAACTGCGACGTTTTTAAACTTGCGACGTCGCACCATTTCATTCTGAATAACTTAGTAGATCCATATGTTTATAGTTAAGCTATAACAGCAGTAAGTGATCAATGGAACATCGGACTTCGCGCTCGCGCCGTTGTGCTCCTGACGTTCGTGTATATTGCTTTTTTTGCTCTGAATGTTTGTAATTACATCAGTGAAGAATTGCTTATTTCGCCAAGTGCATCAGACTCGATGTGGATTTTAATCGTGTTACATATAAAATGGTGAATCTGTTCGCTTCCACGATCGTCGTGTTTTAACACGTTCCTCTATGTAATTAATTATTGTTATACACGCACGATTATATTGACTGGGTGAACGGTTGTTCGAAATCAGGTATGTCCTGATCGCTTTACATAATATTTTTATCGTATAACAATTCGTGACTTACAATTAATCGTGACAACAACTAAATTTCATTTTTATTGCATGCCGAGACAATCAATGATATTGCGGATGCATTTTGCGCGTTATCACAAATTGTTGCTTTTCTCATTTTCACTCATATAATTTGTGTTATAACTACTCTTTTTTTGCAAAAAACTACATCATGCAATGTGACAGGTGTTTAAATGTCATTACATAGCAGTTCACAATGACATGCATTATCTAATACCAACCACTTATAATTTATGTCATTCTTTTGGTCTTTATAATTATTGGTACTTAATGTAATTATTTTTTATTACATGATTTATATACTTTTAATATAGGTAAGTAATAATAAATGAATTAATTGTAATGTTTTGTATGACAGATCCATAATGATCTCTCAACCAATTGTGGTTCCTGGTGGTGAACAACGATCACAACCAGAAACCCATTCTGTGTCAGTTGGAGGTACCTCTGATTCTTTCAAGACCATGACTCCACCTAATGTTAGCAGATCATTTAGTAATCGTAAGTATTATAGATTATCTGAATGCTCATTATGAAAGTCGTGGAGAAATATAAGAGAGTATATTGTTTATCTGTACCACAGTATTTAGTTTAACATATATGCATAAATTACCTGTTAGTATTGTTATTTCAATAGTTTAAGAGGTAGTGTGTTGTTAATATTTCAAAAAGTAATTCTTAAGCACATTTATATAATTCTATTAACTAAAAATATTATTTTAATAATTTGTTATATGAAGTATTATAAATACTTGCAATTTAAAGGTATTAGTGACAGTGGATATGGTACATTACCAAGTAAACTAGGTAGGCTCATTACTATGTATTATGTGTATACAGTAGCAAGCCTCAATATTAGAATCACAGAAATCAATAAGTAGATGTGTGTAATACACATGTGTATAATATTCTATTTCCAGATTATACGTGTTACTAGCATTCTTTCATTTTCCATAATTTGTTGTATCATCATCATCATCTTCTGTTTATGAATAAACTATGAATAAAATATGTAGTACATAAACTGAATATCATTTATTATTTCAACATAATCTTCATTCTATCATTGAGCAGAGAAATAAATTGGACTACATAAAAATTAAAATGTCATATTTTTGCGTGTATTAGATTAACATAATACATTCATGCTGTTAGCACATTTTTGTACTCCTTGGTATATCATAGAACATTGTATAACATTGAACATTTATTTATGAGTTTACGTGTATGCTAGAAAATAATATTTTGTAAAGAATGTTCAGTGCATGAACAATTTTACGGTACCCTCTTGTAGTATAGTTTTATGTATGTGTAGGTGCATGCAATTGTTGATCTTATGTTTGCTTGTAATGGCATATAATAGTAATTAAGTAGCATTTCTTATTTGGAAATGTATTTATTAGTATTTAAAATACAAACAGTATACCTAACAGCGTTCGGTACATCTTTTACAATGCATGTCAACTTTTCTAAGGAATCTACCTACCTTTCTACACACTTTCTTTCTAATGCTAACGTTTCGTTGCTCTTGCGATTTAATAAGTCGAATATAAACTTGAAGCCTCTTTGTACATGTAATTGTATTCACTGCAAATTCTATCTTCAGAAATTAATGTTGTTAGCAGTCCACGATTAGTGTTGGTGAAACGGATTTCTTCTTTAGAATGCAATTGTGGTGTAATCTTAGTACATACCTTTAGTATGAAATAGTTCAAAGCTTGAAAAATTTGTGGTCTCGGAAGATATATAGACATGTAAATTTGAACAAGTACATATATACATACGTGGAATAACGTTGGAAAGTATTTATCGATAAGTAGCAATTATGACTGAAAACGAAAATTAAATATACGTATGTAGAACCAGTGGATCAACAACTTCGACGAAGCAGTGCACAAGCTCAATCTGCAACATTACCTAAACTTCCATCAACCGAGTCCCTATCGACAAGTGTAAATTTTACAACTGCTGCACCTCCACTATCTCCAGGTATAAATACAAAGTTATGTTAATAATCATAAATGGGTAATAATTCGAAATTTGCCAGGTGCTTTTTAACTTTTTGTACAAAATTAATATTATTCCTTATAATTGTTCAGTAGTTGATTAGTCATGAGAAAGTGCATATTTTTTATTTCTTGTTTGGCTTTCTTCCATTTCCTTTTTTGTATTATTGCATATCTTATTATTAAAATCTGTAAACTCCGAATCTGTATTCTATGTATACTGCATAGTATTCTTTTGGCTCGAAGATTATTGACTATGTGTATTATATAGATCACTACCCTGAGTTATAATTAAACAATACTTTTTGTACTATAATTATATAATAAACTTATAGATTATACGCATCGCATACGATATATCTTTTTTAATGTTACTTAATTTCGGGAAGAAAACAGATACAACGTCTCGTCTTTTACGCGTATAAAAATTTAGAAGTTTCTGTATGAAAGATTAATGCTAACCGCATAATGCGTTATGTTAATGAGATCTATATATGAAGCGATTTTATTTGTAGAAAATGGTAGGACTTTTATTGTAGTTTATTACAAATAAACTGCATCGTGTTTTGAGTTTTACGAATTTAATTACAGTCTTTTTTATGAGATAAACGTTTGTGTTCCAATAAACTTATTTAAATTCCATTTGCTAAGCTTGTTATGCGAATGATTTAAGCTTAATTACTTGCCTAGGGCTTTTAATTCCATTACAATTATAAATAAGCGAAACATGTTTCAAAACTGTTAGTCAATTTTACGCTCATAATTTTTTATATGACGTTTCATAATATCAATCAACCTCGAGTCACATTCATCTGCATATTTTACCGAACATATGTCAGTATCACAATTTATAATAAATTAAAATAACAATCATTATGCGTATATTAATTTGTACATTTATGATTTTATTTAAAGCTTACTTAATTTTTGTTAAACCATTAACATTTATTAAATTGGGTGAAATCAGTCAAAAGACAGATAATATGTCAGACAAGGTACGAAAACATTTATCTTGTTGTTCTAAACTAAACCGTCGAAAGTATTCTATCTTAACTTTATTTTTTTCTTATACAATTTCTAGTCTTTAGATTCTTGTAAACTGACAAGGAAAGAATCGTACAAAGCTCAAAGAAAGACTTATAGAATGGAAAAGAAACGAGTCGCCAATGAACTTTTAAGTTCATTCAAAGATCCGACTGTTATTGTCATGAGCGATTGGCTTAAAGTACGCGGCACATTAAAAAGTTGGACGAAGCTTTGGTGCATTTTGAAGCCCGGTCTGCTACTGTTGTATAAAAGTCCAAAAATAAAAGTGATACTATCTTTAATAACTAAAAATATGCATTCTCTGTTATATTCGAAGTCAAACCCACGTAATTATTACAGAGCAATCATTGGGTGGGGACAGTTTTACTTAATACGTGTCAAGTGATAGAACGCCCGAGTAAAAAGGATGGGTTCTGTTTTAAATTGTTTCATCCTCTGGAACAATCGATATGGGCTCCGCGAGGTCCGGAGAAAGAAGCTATTGGTATTGATAAAGCATTTGTAAACAAAAAAAATCAAGAAATATGTCTATACTAAAAGCTATTCTCTCCTACAGGTGCAGTTGTACAACCTTTACCAACATCCTATTTAATCTTCAGAGCTCCGTCACAGGCAGCCGGCAAATGTTGGTTAGACGCGTTGGAGTTGTCTTTACGTTGTTCCTCTTTGATAGTGCGCTCAACGAGTGCACTTCCTCGTGCTTTACCGCATGATACCACAACAACGCATGAAACTCAATGGAGCGAAGCGGATTATGAAAAACATTTTGATGAGCATGGTAAGTATGGTAACAATTAACGTTATGCGACACATAGACATTGGTCTTAGATTAAATAAAAATTCAATTTTGTCAAACTACTATTTTTCCTTTAAGAAACTTTGCTTAACGACTCTCTTATCTGACAAGTAACATTAACTCTAGTAAAGCAACAGCATTTGGAAATACACTTAGTTAAGTACCGTTATCTTGGAAGTTATCAGTATTAATTAAATCGTTATTACCTCTTTTCCTTTGACGTTTGTCACCTTGATTACTCGCCTTCGTTGCCCGAAGTATGCTTGCCTAACTATGCTCCACGTTCACCCACGACACCTCAAAGACGTTTGTTATCGTGCCCTCAACCCCTGACACCTTCTATGGCGAATGTTTCAAAAAGTATTTGTCCCTCGCCGACACCGATGTTTCAGCAATTGTACCACGCGGTTGCATATTGGGACAAACAATTTCGCGATAGATCACCGACCCCGCATACAGATACGGAGATCATTCTGACCTCAAATTCCATGGACGTGTTAGGCGACGGTGATGTTTATTCACGTTTCGAATCTTCCACTTCCAAGCCTGTTTCGTCCTCCACGCGACGCATGACTGTCCCTTCTGTACACGTCCTCGAGTACGACACCCAAAAAGTAGTAACGCTAGACCCTATGCACTCCTCATATACAGACCTAGACGACATCAGCCAACCAGAGAATGGAGTAGCAGCCGATGCAGAGATCAGTGCCTCTGACAGTGAATCCGAAGGGTCAGCCAAAGAACAGGAAGCAGAGCAGGAGACAGTCAATGAAACTCCATACGTCGCAAACGAACAAGAAATTCTTGGAGCGGTAAAATTACTTGCGTCTCGTTACAGACGATCACGCTCTTATAAAAGATGATAGTTTTTGTAAAACTATTATAATTTATGTTGCGTAGGCCGGAGAAGTGGTTACGGAATTGCAGGAAGAACAAAAGTCATTGATATGGTTCCTAATGAAACAAGTTCGGCCGGGTATGGATTTATCGAAGGTGGTCCTGCCTACCTTCATTTTGGAACCTCGCTCGTTTCTGGAGAAATTAGCTGATTCTTATTATCATGCGGATCTGTTGTCGCAGTGAGTATACGTTTGCAAATCTTGAGAAAAATGTGTACAGAAATATGGAACGTTTGTTTTCTTCTTGTTTCTATAGAGCAGTAATCGAAGATGATGCATTTACGCGTATGAAGGCAGTGGTTAAATGGTATCTTTCAGGATTTTATAAGAAACCACAGGGGTTAAAGAAACCGTACAATCCACTTTTGGGTGAAACTTTTCGCTGCTATTGGCAGCATCCGGACGGTTCGAGGACTTTCTACATAGCTGAGCAGGTAAGACGTTCTAAACTTACATTTTTTATCCTTCATATAAAACTTGCTCGCATATTTGCAGCTCTCTCATCATCCACCAATATCAGGGTTCTATGTTACAAATCGACAAGACGGATTTACCATTAGTGCTACGATTATTGCTAAATCGAAATTCTATGGTAAATACATTTATCTCCATTGAAATGTTTTTACAGAAATTGTTATATAAAAATGTGTATCATATTTTTTAGGTAATTCAACATCAGCAGTCTTAGATGGTGTTGCGATATTAACAATGTTACCTAGGGGAGAAGATTACACAATGACTGTCCCCTATGCTCACTGCAAAGGCATTCTTATGGGAACATTGTCTATGGAATTGGGTGGAAAAGTACATATAAACTGCGAGAAAACGGGTTATCATACCGAACTTGAATTTAAGCTAAAGGTAATGTAGCAAATTATATAACGCCTAAACATAGAATTAATTTATTCATTTTAAACAGCCATTCCTTGGAGGTGCAGAACAAATGAATCAAGTTGTGGGAGCGATACGTCTTGGAAAAGAAACGCTGGCTAGTATATCAGGGTATTGGGACGGACAAATATTAATCACTGATAAAAGAACCGGGGTATGTCCATCTCTTGCTACTCTATGTAATCAACGTATTCATAATAATTCTATACTATACTAATTCATTCTATAGCAAGAAAGCGTATTTTTCAATCCAACCTCGGAAGTGCGAAAGAAAAGGTTGAAGAAGTACACTGTGCCTCTGGAACATCAGGGTCCATGGGAAAGTGAAAAATTATGGTACGAAGTTACACAAGCGATCAATAGAGATGATCAAGTTGCTGCTACTGAAGCGAAAACACAGTTAGAGGAGGCACAGAGGGAACGTGCTAAAGAGCGGAAAGCCAAGGGACAAGAATGGGTTCCTAAGAATTTTGTTCAGGTATTAAATAAGAAAAAGTAGAGGGGAATTACGGGAAAAAGTAATTCAGACGGTTCATTACATGTGTTACATTTTATCATTTGACAGGATATCATAACCGGCAATTGGGTTTACCGGCACGCGGACGTGCGGCCATGGGATCCTAGAAATGACATGGTGCAATACGAACAAGATTACATAGTACGCACGAAAACTAGACATAAGACACCGATTATGCGTACTGGTAGCATCGTTTCCGTTGAACCACAAACACAGGTATAGGAATATGACAATTAGTTATATAGATTATTAGTATTGAAGTTGTTTCATTCAATCATGCTGAATGCTAACTGCATGCGGAATAATACATTACTGTGCATATTTCATCGATCATATTTGTTATTTGATAATAATAAGCCGGATCAGTTATTTGTATAACAATGTAAAACAAAATTCCTTTTGTTTATTCATGTTTATTCTTCTTCTTTTCATTTTTATAGATACTTAGTTATACATGTTTAACATCTACAATAAAAGAGTCAAACACTTTGTTCAAGCTTAGCTGCAATCATTTATATTTGTTGAATAAGATAGACAGTTTTATCATTTGTATTACAGGTTCCGCTACTACAAGCTGAGTCCCGTTCTTCGCTCTCTGTATTAAAGTCTTCTAAAAGGCAATTGTCTAATAATATACCGTTAACGGAAACTGCTCACGATTCTGGCAGTTCCTCTGCTGAGGCACACTCAGATTCTAGTCAATCAATAAGCAAAAGAAAACGTTCTGCTGCTAGGTGAGTTTTCTTTTTTATTGTTTTAGGAAGTTGTTTGAAGTAACAATTGTCTGTTTTAATAAAGTCTTCTTTCTATTTTTAGAATAATAGATGTGATAAAAGACTTAGACAGACAAATGCTAGAGTATGGGAATAAACTTAATCGCGTGCAGCATATAGTAGAGCAGCTTGCTATAAGGCAAAGAGAACAAGGTGATCAACACCATAGTATAAATATGATGAAAAACTTCATAGATACAATTCTTGTTATTGTGATCGTTTTCTCTGTACAATACTTTGTAAAAATATGGAATGATGAGCCCAGTGGAGGTTGAAGAGCACGGTAAATAGCGGTCGTAGTATATATAAATTGTATATGTTGATTTATCCTATCTCAATTTAAACTACCAGCTTTTTATGTAAGGAAGAGAGCCTTAAAGGGTGAAATCCCAAGATTTCAAGTACCTAATTTAACGTGTGTTTATCGGTGATGGTCATGCGTACGTACATACTGTTTTATAGTAGAATATCACTGAAGAATAGCATTAAAGAAGAAAAAGTTGAAGTTTTAGAAGGATAATATCCGCAATTATAGTGCAATTTCATTTTAATTATATATAGTTCACGTTCTATAATTTAATTGTTATATTGTTGTTAAATAATACATTCGAAGAATGTATACACGTAGATATTTCATACTAATACATCGCGATGTTTTCTGTTCTTCGGTAGAACAACCCATAAGACAGCAATGGATTATACAAGGTAAAGGGATTGGATTTTTCGAGCTTATAATCACGTATATAATATTTTATGTGCTAATGCACAAGAAAACTGTTTATTCCTAAATTCTAACGATGTTCTAGTATCTACTGCAAGCGCTCAACAGAAAAAATGTATCATAATTTTGTCCTCTATATGAGTTTCTTTTCTCGTTCTGTTGCAATATCCACTCCTGTAAGTCGTGCCTTCTGCTTCTCTTGCTTTTCAGGTTCAGCTTGCTCTACTTGGAAATTTATTACACGAGATATGAAATCCTCAATCTGTATTCTTTATTGTGTAGAATGTGTTAGAAGTTCCTTATTTAAAATAATTGCTTCATGAACTCTATGCAAAACTGTCTCCTTTGATGATCTCATATTCTCCATTTTCCTTTTTTTTCTTGTTCAGTTAGAAATCTTGTAGTCTGTTGCCTCGTCAAGATTCACTTCCTGGCATCATTTTAATTATTTTTTTTTTATCAATAATTACGTTTTTTTATTATCTTTAGTTAATTTTCTTTCTGCGTCTCCTGGGCTCTCGTCATCTTCTACATTCATTTATAAAGAAGTTTCTGAATCTGTTTCGTCTCCTGGAATATATTATCTAAGCTTTTCTATAAGTATCGCTATAAAGCTGATTATACCGAGATCGTGTCGACCATAAAACAAGGAAAGCTAATTGCAGTCACAAGTGAAATATACATAGAAGCAATAACCAGTTGTATGTATGTACATACAATGGTTGACAAAAAATCGTAACTAATAAATATTATTAATCTGGTCAGTATTGTTATTGTTAACAGAAAAGAGATCCTAATAAAATAAGTATCAAGTATTAAGATTATCCCCATAATATTAAATGAGAATTACGTCCAGAATTGTAGTAGATACTACGAGCCAAGCTGTAAATTTATTTTATATCGCTGGCATCTTTTTATCGATACATTGGTCATTATATTTCAATATTTATTGTTAGAATAATAATCTGTATCGTCAAATTACGTCCAGAATTGTAGTAGATACTACGAGCCAAGCTGTAAATTTATTTTATATCGCTGGCATCTTTTTATCGATACATTGGTCATTATATTTCAATATTTATTGTTAGAATAATAATCTGTATCGTCAATGTTTTTTTTATATCTCAGAGTATTGAAGTAACTACATTTGTTAATGATTATATTTTTAAAATTAGTTACGTATTTCTTGTAACTATTATTTATATGAAAGCAAAAACTATCAATCATTCTCTTAAATAAAAATACTTCGAATAATTTTCAAATTTAACATATGTCATATCAATTAAGTTAAAAAATGTTGACAATATATTGTACTATAGATGTATTAATACCTAATTTTATATGGATTCAAAATTTTGATTTCGACTTTTCCGTTAATGTTATTTAATACAAGAACATAGTACTTCATATTCACTTTCTGCATTCATATTTGCTTTCTGCAATAAAAATTTAATCATTGCTTTCCTATTACACTTTAATATCCAAGCTATTTTCGCATTTTAATAAAAAAATACGCTATGCATATTTTAATAGAACGGAAAAAGCATTTTTACAAATAATAGTGCATTTATTATCAATATGAATGTATTTTTTTCACAGAACCAAGTATTAATATGGTCTATATAAGGTCTAATATAATATCACCATTTTTTACATAACAATTTAGTTAACAGAAATTGTATGCTTTTCTATCGTATAAATATTCTGAATGCATACAGATCAACTGGAAGAATTGTATTTCTAATTTGGCGCATATGTAAATATTATGTGATATTCGTAACATTCCCCAATATTATTACTGTTGTCACACTCTATTACTATATATATTAGTACTGCAATTAGCTGTACAACTTCACTTCTACTTGCTTAAATTGTCGATATGAAGGTCTTAATGTCATATTATATTACTATTTAATTTTGTTATTTAATCCTATACGACTATTAAGGATGTATTGGCTATACAGTCAATCCCAAAAGTTTATGTATCTTAGAAAAACGCATTTCCTATAATTAAAAAGAAATCAGACGTCGGAAGAACAATACTAATAATAAATAGCTACGTGCTAAAAAGTATAGAAGGAAATGTCCAATTAAGTATTGACGCTGACG